AATAAAAGTCTTGTTGAGTAGCGTTCATGAAAAACATCGTTCATAGAAAATAGCGTACTGGTATTAATTTTCCTGAAAAATAATTTCCTGTTTTTTAAGGTCCTCTCTATGAATTATCATGATAATATATTATATAGAGGGTTACCAGTTACCACTGAATATATGAAATTTCATATTATATTCTGTGGGGTTACTTTTTGTAGTTAATTGCATTATCTGTGGTATTGCAGCTATTATATTAGCTAGAGTATTATAATTATTAATATTATTATATAATTACTCTAAAGTCTATGCATTAATTATATACATCAACATATTATTATATGATTGCAGATGGTGTATAGACATTTTACCACAGAATAYATGAATATTGAATATTTAAAAAAATTTATATTCTGCACCTGTTTTAGCCGTGGTTTTTGTTTTTATTTTTCTTTAATTTTCTTTATTAGTTCCTTATACTTGATTAAAAATGTACAATTGGCATTTTTTTTATCGTRTAGTAATTTTAAACGTCTGTCAAATTCGTCTTTCATGGTATAAGTTTCGAAAAAAAATCAATAAAATATTACAAACGTCAATAAACAGTCGAATACGCTGAACACCGAACACTGAACATACTACACAGTATTAACATCTGCAGTACTGGACTACTGGAGACTGGAGTATCGCTCAAATAATTTTAGACGAATACCCACACCATCATAGACATAATAATATAATATTAACGTCATCATAACCAAAGCTTTCCAATTAATCATATCAGTMTAATAAAGATAATATTGATAGATTAGATAACTGTAGAATAACTTGTATCATAACTCCTTACTCTACATCACACACTTTTACAGTGACCAAAAGCATTTCGGGCGATTCAAACTTCAAACTGTCCGGACATTGTTATAGAATGACCGGTCATAGAAAATAATTATTACTTTACCCGAAAATGATGGGCACTGTGCACATTGCTCGTAACATATACATTTCATATTATATTCTGTGCTTTTACTACGAATATATTTACGAGTCTAATTTATCATTTATGTCTATGAGGTATATTCTCGTTWGCTGCAGGTTTGTTTAATTTGATAAGAAAATTTGATTCCGTTTTTCTAATACCATATTATCATCATTAAACCATCACGATTAAAAATATCTTTAATCGTGAGATCACCATGCAGGTAGGACAGGTATCACAGAATATAATAATATATAATGCATAATGGATAGGACTGATAGGAGATCAAGATTTTGACTTTACCATTGAACTTTATAAACATAATAACAGTATAACAATATATATATAT